GGGCGAGCCGAGCCGGCGGCCCCCCCCCGCTGCCAGCGCCGATGGTGAATAGGTCGAAGTCGTAATTGGCGGAGGCGGCGTCGACGCCGTTCTGCGACTCTGCGCGGACGGCGAAGGTGCGGCGGCGCGTGGAGAGAGAGAGTAGGGATTTGGAGAGAGGGAGAAAGGAAGGGCGAGAAAGTGGGAAGGTTTTGGCGAAGAAGAGAGTGTTGAGAGAGAGAGACGGCGAAAAGGAGAGCGAGGTCGCCATTGTGTTATGCTTACTTTCTCTCTCTTCAGAGTATCAGAAAACCCTATTATATATGTCTGTTAAATTACTTCTTTCAAATTTTAGTAATAAATTAGTAATTATTTAAATATTTAATTGATCATGAAATTAATGTACCGAATAATTTATCATAAAATCAAATTAATGTGCCGAATAACTTATCATAAAATCATTCTTTTAAATATTTTGAATTTTAATATTACTATCATATTTGACTACATAAAAGTTATGATAATAAAAGATTTTGAGAACTAGTTTGAATATAAAAATACCATTAACCATGCATTAGTAGACAAAACGATGCATAAAAAACAATACACCACTCCATCGAGAGAGCGTGTAAAATGCATAAATTTATTATTTATTATATTATAAAATATGGTTTTATCACATGGATAAATGTCACTTCACAAAACTGCATTATGGTTTTTTTTTCTATAAAGTTTCACTAAATTATTTCATTTTATTTTTAATTTACAAAATATAAAAATATAAAAAATTTATTAACATACACTCACTTAAATTTTAGTTGTTAACAAGTTATAATTAAAAATTATCTTAAAATATAATGAACTTGTTAATATATTCAAACTAAATAATAAGTAGATGTATTTTTACAAATTCTAATAGAATTTACTAGTTTACAATACCTTATTTTTTAATTAGACTATATTAATAAGTTATAACTAATATAATATTATCTTAAAATATACTAATGATATAGATTGTTAATGTACTTTAACTAAAAAACAAGTGAAAATATGTTAACAAATTTCATAGTTATAATAATTAATTAAAGTTATTATTTATCTATGAAATATTTAATTATAGTAATTAATCATTATTTTTATTAATAAAAATTACAATAACGTCAATAAAATATAGATATAATTTTTTTTAAGAAGTTTAAATATAGAACCTTCTGTATCTCACCCTCAAACATAATTTAATCATTATTTAGATATTTTAATTCAAGTTAATTAATGATTATATATATATAATTCCGATTTATAACAATTTTAAATTAAGAAACTTTATAAGGTTTATTTTTGACAAGTTCATTTTTAAAAAAATCTACTTGAATATAATTTTTCCATTTGAAGTTCTTACAAACTAAATAATTTTATTAATTAATGTGATGGTAACTAATATGATTTTAATATTTTAAATATTGAAATTGAGATTTTCAAGTAATTTAGAGTGTGTTTGGTTTGTTGTTAAATGTTTGCATATATACAAGCAGTTTTTCAAACATGTACTTAATTTAATATTCCATGAATTATTTGTATTTGTTTAATCTTTGATGCATATAATATAGTTTATGTTTTTTTTTATATATACATTTTTACTTATTTAGTGGGTTAATTTTATCTTTCTTAATCCATTTTCATTTTATTATATTGTACAAGTTAGGTCATTCGACCATACCTTTCAGCATACCATTTGACACAACATGTGGTCGAATAGTTAACACCTAGTTGTCCCCACAACTCAAATTGGGCCAATAGCCTAGACAGTCTACACCAAGTCGAATCCGCACCAAATCGGCTCATCTCGGCGTTTTTGGTTGCTGACATCCGATCGGCACCTCCAATAGCTGAAAGGATCTTATAAGAGTTATTTATGGACTAGATAATCACCCCTAATCATGGGTTAGGCGTTAATCATGAGTACATACTAATTAACGGCGTATTACCTATTTTGGTAACCCTAATAAAAGGTCCATCCAGAACTGTGGGCTCATTATTGTCAATATAAATAGTTCACATCTCGAGATAAAGTTACTGTTCATTTATTATTATCGATATTCACGTTTATCCTGACTTGACCGTCGGAGTACCTTTTGCAGGTACTTCACCCACCAGAATATTCGCTTAAAACTTTCGTTCGGCCTTCAGATTACAAAAGACTACTAGTGTGCCCCTTTGACAGGTGTATATATATATATATATATTTTATAAATTTTAATGAGAATCCAATCCATAATCTATTAGCGTTGAGTTAGAAATTTCAACCCAATGACAATAAGTTCAATCCAATTCATTTTTTAGAATGTTAAAGAGGAAATGAATTAACTCGTTTTAACACTTTTATAGATAATTTGGACAATAAACCTTGAAAATACAACAACAAATAAGTTTATTTTGGATTCTATATTAATTTGACCTATATTATAAAAACATTAATTTATTGAGTATATAAATGTTTGTTAACAGAGTTGAAAATGCTCATTCGTGGCTAAATAAGTTATTTCGATGTAGCATGAGAAACTTATGCAGTTGTCATAATGCAATGAATAACATGACCATATCACAACATATTGAAATAATGGTGTTATTTTAGAAAAGTAAATGTATTGGAGTACTAGTTTGACAATCATTATACTTATGGCTGCAAAGCTTTATATTAAGAGAAACACAAAGGATGATGTTTGAATAATACAAATGTGTTGAAATTGTTGGGATTGATAGTTTTATTTGTGATTGCAAACTAAGAACTACTCATGAACTACCTTATACATGCAAACTTGTTACATACAATAACCTCTTTAGACATATTCTATCGTGGTCCTTTCATTTGTATTGAAAGAGACTAATATTTTCTTCTTAAGTCTTAGAAAGACTTAACCTTTCTCATGAAAATGCAATTTAAAACAATTTTTGAAACTTGATTGTGGTGGAAAAATAATACATTGAATCCTATACATGTGAACCGGTATATTCATATACAACTTTAATGTGTCCTCATTTTGAGAATGTCAAAATGAAATAGCAAGTTAATAATATACTTTACATAGTTATAGATGAGGCTTATCTATTAATTTTCCTCATAATACAATTATATATAAACCCTAATATATACTTGGATAGAATATTTGGATGAAAGAATTTAATGGAGTAATTCAATTCTTTTAAAGAAAATCAAATATTTTGAGGTGAAATGTTTTTGTTTTGATGAAAAATTTACAAAGAATTTTAAAATTTAAGAATTTGTGAAATTTCTTAAAACTATAAAATTTTAAATTCTCCTTAAAAACTAAGAATTTGAAATTTTTTTTCCCAACATCCTTCTTCTCTTTTTCGAAGTTGACATGAAAATATCAATTTTTATTATTATTAAATATTTAAAAATATTTTTAAATTATTAATATTATCTAATAATAATTATTAAATATTTAAAATAGGCTAATATTTAATATTATAAAATTTAATCTTAAAAATTTATTATATATATATGTATATATTTATTTAAAATCAATTTTATCTATGATAGAAATCAAATTACTATATCTAAATTAAGAATCTAAAATTTAAAAAATTTGAATAGACTTATTCAAACAAATCATTAATTAAAAGTTTTACTATTAATAACTAATTGCGATGCAGCTAATAAAAAAAAAATCATCAATAAGGACTAACTAGTTTGTCTATACCATGATTCCTGAATTGTAGTAAATCCTTGATATCAAAGTTCAATTTTAATAGATAAAAAAGTAAGAGACAGAAGTATCAAACTATTACCATTAATTAAAGAATTTACAATTAATTGTGATAAAATAAATGTTGTTGTGCAACAAAATTTTGAAATTATTAGGATCAACGTTATATCTACACACTGGAGGCAGAACAATGCATACTGATGTGTCTTCTCCTCCTAAGATGATAAAAATATACAGGTCAGGTCTAGTTGGTGTGATTGGGAGGACGAAAACACGTTACTTACTTTGTACTTTAACTCTCTTGTTGGTAAACTGGCATTTTAGGAGATTAATAGTTAAAAGCATAATAGGCAAAAGCCGAACCTTGCTTCTGGTTATCTTATTCAAATATGGATGCTTAGGAATTAAATTAAAGAAACATGTGCAATTTGAAAGAAAGCAGACAAGTAAGTTGTTTTAACACAAGTCTTTGCAGTTTCTACATGAATCCATCATCTCCCAACCACCCTTTAAAGGGACAATCCAGACTCTTCATCCTCATCAAGAGAGGAAGCGTAGATAAAATAGAGAGCCCATATGAGACCAAAGACGCCGAACAGGATCCAACCAAGAAGGTTGTTGCTGAGACCAAAGGGAAGCCCGGTTCCTTCAGTGCTCAGTCTCTCATCCACCAGGGCCATGGCTGGGCTTGACATCGCTGCAGCCCAGGCAGCTGCTGCCAAAGAGGCCCCCATTCCCATGCTTGACCTGTTTTCCTTCCCCTCCATGGAGCACCTCACTCCCCCCACCTTACCCATTGCTGCCAAACCTATATAAAAAAATTTAATGCTTAAGAAAAGGTTCCTTTATCCCTTTCTTTTTCATTGTCTTACTTGCATCACATGATGAAGATTATTATGATGGGAAATTAGGAAGACAAAAGACTAACCAAGAACGGGAGAAGCTGAGACCCCAAGAGGCCGCTTTTGCGCAAGACCTGCGCGGCTGATGGATGGACTTGTGGTAGCAGCAGAGATGGTTGCCATTTGATTAGATGACTATAGAGTGACAACGGCTACGATACAGACTGTCACTATGCTACTTCTGTCCTCGCCACAGTTTACTTCCTCAGCTTAACCTATACTTGTTAAAATTAATATCATCGTCCTATGCACCACAAAACATGGATAGATTTGTGGCCCCTTGTTAGATATTCTTATCTGCACCAATCCAATCATTTTCATCCATGTGTCACCAATATTCCCCTCTATAATCTAGGTTTTTCTCAAGTCTCACAAAAGCTAAGGTGAAAAATAGTTATTATTTTTAAAAAGCTATTCTATGTTTTACATTAACTGTTTAAATTAAAGAAAAGGTTCAACAAACTCCACACTCTTTTTTAAAACAAAAAACATAACTCCACACTCATAACTTTTTCCGTTGAACGAAAGATATTGGCACTAATAATAGATTTCAGTGCTTAAAATATTAATCTATAATATTTGATATATATATATATAAAAGAAGATTCAAACGATATTGGTGTAATTTTTACTAAGTGTTCCTGTATAGAAACACTCCTCCTGTTGCTTCCTCTTGACGGTCTTCTAGGTCCTCAGTGTCGACCGAACAATATCCCCGGATGGTGGGAGGGTACTGCAAAGGCACTCCAACGATCAAGTAAGTGTTCGGTATAGAGCAATAAAGGCTTATATATTGGATAAAGCGTACCTCATTTATGTCCCATCACCTGTGTATTTATAGTGACATGTCTGGGCCTGGTGGGCCTTCCGTCTTGGGAGATGGGTAATATTTGGATTAACCTTAATCTCTTTTGATTAGTCATGATAATTACTGTATAACAAACATCTGACTTGCCACGTGTTTAACGTGCTATCTCTCTTTTGGGTCTTCGATCAAACACAATACCGAAGGGGGGTTCGGCCTAGCTTATGGCCGAAGAGGTATTCGGCTAAGCTTCATGCCGAGGAGTTTCTTTGGGGAGTGGTTTCAGCTAGGCTTGGGGCCGAAGAGGTATTCGGCCTGACTTGGGGCCGAAAGGGTGTATTCGGCTAGGCATGGGGCCGAAGAGGTATTCGGCCTGACTCGGGGCTGAAAGGGTTTTTGAGCTACTTGGGTACTTTGCTTGAAACGTTTGCTTGTTTTCGTGGGAGATGCATGTGGTTGTCCTTAAATCGTGGCATGGCTTCGGTCTAACTCGAGGCCGAATGGTGGTTCGGTCAAGACGAAGACCAAAGGGGTGATTTGGCCTAGGAGAAGGCCGAAGGGGTGGTATCTTCGATTTTGGTGCTTGTTTTGGCATATGATCCGGCCGAGGAGGTGCCTACTGGTACACTAAGTGTTACATTGCTTAATAACTTTAAATTCAATATGAATTTTATAAATTTAATCGTTAGATTGAAATTTTATATCACTTTATATGTATATATCAAATTTTGTTAAAATGGGCGACTAGTTGCATTGATTTTCAAATTTTAACTTTTTAGAAAAAATTCGTTATTTTTCTAGTCGGGATTTGAACGACTAGTTGCATTGATTTTCAAATTTTAACTTAGAAAAAATTCGTTATTTTTCTAGTCGGTATTTGAACGACTAGTTGCATTGATTAGAACGTCCTATTCATCCAGGAAGAGCTTAATTCGTGGATGGGACCGTACATCGCATATCTAACTTGGGGGGAATTACCGGGAGACAAAAGGGAGGCATTTTTGGTGCAAAGGGAGTCGGCCAGGTTCGTAGTCATCAACGAAAGACTGTACCGAAGGGGCTTTAGCTCTCTTCTCTTAAGGTGTTTGACCATGTCGCAAGCACAGAGAGTGATGGAGGAGGTACATAGTGGAATGTGCGGAAGTCATATCGGAGGCCGAGCTCTGGTGTACAAAGTTGCCCGCGTAGGGTACTTTTGGCCATCCTTGAGGAATGACTGCGTCAACTAGGTCCAAAAGTGTGACGGATGCCAAAGACACGCAACCTTGCACCATTCCCCAGCTGAACGGCTGCATTCAATATTATCCCCCTGACCTTTCCACAAGTGGGGGATTGATATTCTCGGTCCATTTCCGATCGCAGTAAGGCAAATGAAGTTCTTGATAGTAGCTGTTGACTACTTCAGAAAATGGATCGAGGCGGAGCCAGTTGCAACCATCTCAGCAGAGAAGGTTAGAGCGTTTCTTTGGAAGAACGTGGTGTGCAGGTATGGAGTTCCTCAGATGCTCGTGTTCGATAATGGGACACAGTTTGCAAGTACGAGAGTCCGTGTTTTCTGTAAAGAGGTCTGCATCCGAATGGCATTTACTTCCGTTGAACACCCACAATCTAACGGCCAGGCAGAGTCGGCCAACAAGGTAATCCTTTCAGGTTTGAAGAAGCGTGTCCAAGACTCAGGCGCTTCTTGGGTGGAGGAGTTACCCAGAGTGCTATTGTCATACCACACGACTGTTCATTCGTCGACCCAGGACACTCCTTTCAATGTAGTATACGGAATAGACGCCATGATCCCGATTGAAATTGCAGAGCCATCAGTACGTACTACAGCTTTTTCGAAGGAGGAATCCGACCAGGGAAGACGAGTGGACTTGGATTTAATCACAGAAACAAGAGAGAGAGCAAGGATAAATCAAATAGCAGCCCAGAGACGAGCAACCTTCAAGTACAATACAAAAGTCATCCCCAGAGACTTCGTTGTAGGAGACCTCGTGTTGAAGCGTGCTCAGCTAACTCAGATGAGAAACAAGTTATCACCTAAGTGGGTCGGCCCCTACAAAATTGATGATGTGGTAGGCAAAGGAGCTTATTGACTGAGGACCTTGGATGGAGGGATGATACCGAGGACGTGGAACGCTGCAAATTTGCGTTTTTACTATAGCTAGTCTCTTTATCCATTTGTATTAGGTGCACTCTTTTTCTAACTCAGTATTTTGTCCCCGTAAAAATATGAGGGCTTTTTGCTGAGAAGGTTTTTAACGAGGCACCACCCTTTCAATTCTAATAAATGTCATCTCATTGTTTTCTTTCATGACTCCTAACATGTGTTATTTTAAAGGCACAAACTCATGATTGTCGGCCAAAGTCCGACTGGACGAGTATAAAAAACTCGAAGACAAACTCGTGATTGTCGGCCAAAGTCCGACTGGGCGAGTATAAAAAACTCGAAGACAAACTCGCGCTTGTCGATTATGTTTGTCGGGATTTAACCGACTATATTCACCATTTGATTATTTGATTTTCTATGCATTGTGATGGTCGGGATTTGACCGACTATATTCACCGTTTGGTTATTTTAACTCACTGTTATGGTCAGAATTTGACCGATTGTACTCACTGTTAGAAAAAATTTGTTATTTTTCTAGTCGGAATTTGAACGACTAGTTTGCATTGATTTTCAAATTTTAACAGAAATTTTTTTTTATTTTAATACTCGGAATTTGGGCGACTAGTTGCATTGATTTTCAAATTTTAACTTTTTAGAAAAAATTCGTTATTTTTCTAGTCGGGATTTGAACGACTAGTTGCATTGATTTTCAAATTTTAACTTAGAAAAAATTCGTTATTTTTCTAGTCGGGATTTGAACGACTAGTTGCATTGATTTTCAAATTTTAACTTAAAAAAAATTCGTTATTATCAAAATTTTAGGACAATAAAACATTTTTTTAATAGTTAATTTGTATAAAAAATATTATAATAATTAAATTTAAAAGAAAATAAAATATTTTCTCTCTTTTATTAATAAAAGAGAAAATGAGTTGAAAAATGAAGTTAATAAAAAAAATTTATTTTTTTAAATTAAATTAAATTATCATAATATCTTTTATATAAATTAACTAAATCAAAATAATTTTTTTATCCTAAAATTTTAATGTAAGTTACTAACATACTCCAACTAAAAAATAAATAAGAGTACGTTAACAATCCTCATAATATATATATATATAGGGAGCATATCAAGTGAGAAGACATCTTATTGTGAGAGATGAGAAGATTAAATTATAACTCTTAGATTAATTTAAGGCATCGAATTAAAATTAATCGGAACTTAAACAACTCAAATGAGAGCTCCCTGCCTTCTTGCTTTCCAATGTGAAGAGACCAAAAACATGGCTCTAATGATTGCTAGGGTTTAGAGTTTGAATTTGAGATTCGCGATTCTGAAGAAAGAGTGCTGAACGCAAGAAGACGAGAGAGGGAAAGCACGCTGCTACTACTCACGCCGATTCCCTTCTCCCCGCTGGCACTTGCAGTGGCCGGCGTACTCCTCTGCCTCGGCTGCGGTGACGAAGTCGGAGAGCACGGGGGTGAAGGACTACAAATTCAAATCATGTAATGTCAATTGAAGAGATTTTAACAACTGTTTGCGAACTGTAGCAAGAATTCCACAGTTCCGTGACCGGTTCAATTCAAGGGAAGGTCCACCAATTCCCTCATTCCAAGAATTCGTTATTACTGATTCATTCCATCTCTCGTTCTTCTTCTCCCATCTTAGTTAGGGTAGTTTTAGTTCTCATTTGGTGTCTATTTCTGTTGAATTTATAGATTGAGAATCAAGGATGTGATAATGGGTCGTTTGGGTTGGGTCAAATGTTTCTATCTTCTTCTGTTGTTGTTGATAATATTAAAGGAGAAAGACCAACTTCGGATTCGGATCACTCTGCAAAAGATGATTCTGGCCAAGGGAAAGAATCAGAAAAGTGATGCTGGGAAACCTGTTCGCGGAGGGGTCTGTATATATCTAAAGTTATTGTTGTTAGCAATGTGATTCTTCTTCCTTGAGCATTTTTATTTTTCCGGTTCATGTGAATTTTATGTGATGGGGGCTAGATTTTTGAGCTGATTTTACGTTCGGTCTTGCAGCCTGTTTCTTGGTTAAGCTTTCTCTTGCTGGTAACCATTAGAGTTGGATTGGTGTTCTACTATGATAAGGAAAAGAAATGACATATTAAATGTAGATTACTATAGTGAATTGTTTTTTTTTTTTTGGGTTAGGCATAGGGGTCGTTCTTCGTTAATTGTATGTTTATTGTTTGCTTATATTATCATAGGTATTTTAGTCTGAAAAAAAATATATTTAACATATAAATTACATTATTACTAAAAAAACTAATTATTTTTTAATATGTAAGTTATATTTTAGATTTACAATAAACAACATAATTTGTGATATAAGATTATTTTTCACTATCAAAAAATTCATTAATAAAAAATTATTGAAATTCAGTTTATAGAGATAGTAGCAACGTGAGGGTAGATTGAAAGAGATAAACAAGTCATAAGAAAAATAAAGTATACAATTTGAGATGATTGAAAGAGAATGTTTTGGCTAGTTATGTGTGAAATGTACATCTAAAAGAAAGTAGAGAGAGTATTTAGAATGTTTATTTAAGAAAGCGATTGAAAGATGAATTCTTCTATTGATATAGCGTGCTACCTTGGTTCAAACATTTAGACAGAGGAATCACCATTCCCTCTACATAGTGAAGAGAAGTTTGGATCATACGTGACTTTAAATAAATAAATGTGTCCAATAATTTCATCCAACGTATCAGTGTTCATTGTTTCTTTCTTGATTTTTTTCTTTTTGCTATTAAAATCATTGGGTGATGATAGTGCTGAAATGAAGAAAATTTCATTTGCTGATACTTTCCATCTGAAAAAGATTTTGCAGTCATTCATGCAAGACAAGGCACTGCAACATAATCTTGACTTCACTATAAGGAGCGATCCAGAGGCAGCCTAGGAGATGGGAAAATTAAAAGGAAGCTTAGAGAGTCAATTGCTTGTATTTTTTTTTACTTCTTCTTGTAAATATCAATGTAAATAGGCTTTAACCACATGTAAATTAAACTTCTTATAAATATAACGGTTTTTGGGTTGTCACAACACAAAAATCGTAATAATGAAAAAGGTCCTTAAATTCATATATGAATATAAAAACCAGAAAAATTAAATGTAACCACATTTGTCTAGATACAATTTGAACCAAATTCTAAATCATAATCTAAGTGAGGAACTAAACTCAGGAGACATTAGGCAAGTGATCTCCACCATATCAATTATGAGTCCATCCTGTGTATGAAAAGAAAACAAACATAAGAATTATGACAACCAATGCAATTTATGAAAATAAAACAAAATCATAAGAATGGACAACAAGCATAATGTTTTGGACAGTAAAATACTATATTAGACAACAAATTAGATTTCTTACCAAAATTAAGGAGATGATTTTAGAGGACAATTACGACTATCATGATATGCATGTTGTCCACATGCTTTACAAAGCCTTGTCCTTTTTTGTTGTTCAACAGCCTTCTCTTTGCCACCTTTAATTCGTTTGCCGCTTCCTTTTTGTCTTTGAAAATTGTGGTGGAAAAATCTCCACTTCTTTAGGGATATTGGATCCAGTAAAGGCATGTAAATCATCTATATTAGTTTGTTTAGAATCCCCTTCAAAATCAAACCAATTGTTTTTCAATATCCATGGTTTCATTTATCACAACAAGCAATTTTTCTTTACTTTGTCCAGCTTTCTCCATGCACTTTAAAAAGTTTTCCATGCATCTGAGATGAGCTTGCTTTCACTTTCTGATTTAGAACACCTTTCCAAGACATTGTCAGCAATATCAAAAATAGGTTTTCTATTTGCTAACTTAGTCCACCTATTCACAATATAATTACTTGGTATTTCATTTAAACCCTTCCCTTTTAGAACACAAAGTATGTGTCTACAAGGTATTCCATGAGATTTGAACATATTGCATGAACAATTTGCATTGTGATTTGAAGGATTATAAACAACTTCTCGTATTTTACTATTGACCTGACTATTATCAATTACCTGCAATATTTCTTTTCCATCTTCTTCTTTCTTATTTTCAACTCCACAATCTAAACATGCAATCCATAACTCATTTTGAAATATATAAAAATTCTCATGAGTATAAACATTTCTTACATGCTTCTCCAAATCGCGATCCAACTTCAATGTCGGCATAGAATGAAGTGAATCATTATCAGCAAGTAACTCCTTCTGCCTCTATGCTTCTATTGCAGAATCAAACCTCATCCAAAATTCAACCAAGCTAACACGAGGATTCAAAAAGTTACCGTAAAAAGAATTCTCACTTTCTAATCTTGAGGTTGTTCTCAATACCCCAGCTAAAAAAACATCCTTAAAGTAAGCTGGGATCCACATACTTCGAATATCATACATGTGTGAGACCCAATCATTCTTTTCTAATTTAAACCTAATTATTATAGATTTTCATGTTTCTTCAAAGTCATCTGGTGACTCCGATCTCCAAACACATGACTTGAAATCACTATTGAACTCCTTATCAGCATTCAATGACACACATACTTTTTCAGAAACTTTCTTCATAGTGTGCCACATACAAAATCTATGAGAAGAAGAATTAAAAATCTTTTCTATAGCAATTTTCATGGCAGGATCTTGATCAGTAATTAAAAGATTTGGTTGGTGCCCCCCATTGCTTCTAAAAACTTTTCAAACAACCAAATGAATGATTCAGCCTTCTCATCCGCTAAAAAGGCCGCACCAAATGTAATACATTGCCTATGGTGGTTTACTCCAGTAAATGGAGCAAAAATCATTGAATATTTGTTTGTTTCATATGTGGTATCAAATGAAACAAGATCCCCAAACAAGGAATAATTTTTCCTAAAAATGCCATCTGCCCAAAAAAACATATTTTAGTCTACCTTCTTCATCCACCTCATATGCATAGTAGAATGATGGATTAATTTCTTGCTTCCTCCTAAAGTTGTCAATAAATACATGTGCATCAGAATCTTTAATTAGGGTCTTTAAATCTCTTGAATAATTTTGAAGATCCCTTTGTGTGCACCCCAAATTTTCATAACCCCCAAATTGTTCTTTCAATAGATGGTACGTTTTTGAAAGCCCAATATTAGCCCTATTATATGAATGCAATAAACTCTTATGAACAGGATTCATTTTCCTTGCTGATCTTAGAAATTGTCTCTTCATAGGTGAAGCAAGGATATGTGTATGACTTTCATAAAATCGAATTAGCTCATATTTACCTTCCTTTACTTGTTTGAAAACAGCCTTTGCATTGCATCCTTCTCTTGTAATACTCTCACTTAATAGTTGAGTTGCTTTGTTCCACAACTTTTTTCTTATCTGGTTTATAACCTTCTTTTGAGCAAACAAAATACTTCCAACGCTTCACACCATCTTTATCTTTAGTTTCTGATGAGCAACACACACTAAATCTCACATTATGTGCATACCTTTTGTAAAAATTTTCACCTTCTTCTAAGGTATCAAATTGTTGACCAACCTTGGGCTTCAATTCTTCATCACAATTCGGCGCCCATTCATTTTCCTAAAAAGTACAAAATATATAATTTAAATAAAGTGATAGAAAAAACATGGTGTTAATAATAAAATCATAGCTTTTTTACAATCAAACAAAGCTACCTGAGGTGTGGGTGACCTAGGACTTGTGGAGTTAAGGTCAGAAGAAATGTGAGACTTAGGGCTTTGATTCTCTTCAATATCAATGTCGAGGGAAGGGCAAGTCATTGACGATGACATAGTGGTCTAAAAAAAACATTGCATTGAGTATTTAATAAAAATGCTCAAGGAAGAAGAATCACATTGCTAACAATAATAACTTTAGATATATAAAGACCCCCTGCGAACAGGTTTCCCAACATCACTTTTCTAATCTCCACCTCCAAACTCTTTGGAATCATCTTTTGCAGAGTGATCCGAATCCGAAGTTGGTCTTTCTCCTTTAATATTATCAACAACAACAGAAGAAGATAGAAACATTTGACCCAACCCAAACGACCCATTATCACATCCTTGATTCTCAATCTATAAATTCAATAGAAATAGACACCAAATGAGAACTAAAACTACCCTAAATAAGATGGGAAAAGAAGAACGAGAGATGGAATGAATTAGTAATAACAAATTCGTGGAATGAGAGAATTGGTAGACCTTCCCTTGAATTGAACCGGTCACGGAACTGTGGAATTCTTGCTGCGGTTCGCAAACAGTTGTTAAAATCTCTTAATTGACATCACATGATTTGAATTTGTAGTCTTTCACCCCGTGCTCTCCGACTCTTTCACTGCAGCCGAGGCGGAGGAGTACTCGGCCACTGCAAGCGCCAAAGGGGAGAAGGAAATCAGCGTGAGTAGTAACAGCGTGCTTTCCCTCTCTCGTCTTCTTGCGTTCACCTCTCTTTCTACAGAATCATGAGTCTCAAATTCAAACCCTAAACCCTAGCAGCCATTAAAGCCATGTTTTGGTCTCTTCACATTAGAAAGTAAGAAGAAGGCAGGGAGCTCTCATTTGAGTTGTTTAAGTTCTGATTAATTTTAATCTGATCCTTTAAATTAATCTAAAGGTTATAATTTAATCCTCTAATCTTTCACAATAAGATGTCTTCTATACGCTCCTATATATATATATATATATATACCCTCGAGTATATTATGTAACATTTTTTTCTAACAAAATCTTGGGAATTAAACAACTTATTTAATAATTCTCACTCATTATTTTGAAAATCCCAAAATATTTCAACCAATAATAAAAAAAATTAAATAACGTATTCAAAGATGTATAATTAACATTCCTTTCAAAATACATGAAGTTTGGCAAGAGCACCTTCCAAAAACTAGAGGAGCCATATAACACAGGCATGTTAAAATAAAATAAAACAAAAAATCAGCACTTCAAACAAATCATACATTGTTAATACTAACAATAGGTGTGTCTCTTCATCCATTGTGATTCTGAGCCTTCCTACTAACACCCTCCTGTCCGATTTAGCTTCTGATATTCCGCAGCCTTCATCCCAGTCGATGCCTGGAACTAAATAAATAGCAAAGAACGTTGGATAAATTGAGACGCCAAAGATTATATACACAACCACCAATTGCGTCTGCAAGCAGCTAAAATGCATGTCACTGAGACACGGATTCTTACTTCATCTTGATTGTAACTATAAAATTGCCAAGTTTCTAGAAAGAAGTAAGAAGTTCGTGGAAAATTTTGGGGAGGTAAGAGATATGGCGAACTTCAAAAGAATTGAAGAAATAATAACGTTAAGCAAGCAACGAATGTGCGATGGAGCTTGTCAACAACAGAAGACAGGTCATTTCATGAAGAGGAAACTTTGAATTTTGAACTATGCCTGGAGATTGCACTGTTGCAAGAAAGGGTTGTCAAAATTCAAAAATTTGGTCCAATAACTTTTATATCTGCCCATTGCAATATCCAGCCACGGCTTCCTAATCCCATCATAGTGTATAACGGCAGCCCGCTCAATCTCATTTCGATCGACGCCTGAACTATAACCAAGGCCAAGAACATGCCATTGTCTATCCAACAAATCTGTCTTGTTATATAGAGTGAGCCAGCCTAAAGGTAGGCTTCCAACGCTCCACAAACCCTGCAACCATTAACCCAGACAAACACATTAGACAATTGTTGCATTATAATATTGTTTTAATAAAAGTTATCAGAGGAAATAAAAGAGAAGTTGCTCAAACAAATTAACATTTACGCTCCATCTCAATCGGTAATTTTGAATGATAAGACATTCCCTAATGTGATTCAACCACCAAAATTAGATACATAAAGAAAACGCCAATTAGAAATACAAATCTAAATGCCTTGGGGATATCAAATCTTTGACCTGATAATAGCCTCCGTTTCAGGTAATTATAATCAACAGTCATAAACTTCTTGGTTAAGTATGCTAAATTCCAAAAAGAAAATTGCATACTAGGATTTATACAATTCAAATTCAATTTCAAGAGCTTGGATGCCAACAATTATTCTTTAAATCTCCATTACGCCATTAATGCCTAGAGTCTAACTGAAGAGTTAATGAGATTACAATGGGAGATATTTTTTAAGTCTAAGAAATATTCACGCACACTAAATTACTACAAAAAAAGACATTTTTTTTAACCATACCATTTCCAAATACTTGTGATAGACAGCAGATAAATTATGTCTCCTCCACTGTTGCAAATCAAACAAGTTCATCCCAAATGCCCATGTGCAAGCATTGACATCAAAGTGATCAAACCTCTTTCCAATTAAAGGATCTGAGAAGTTTATGAACATATCAATCCTATGAAATGGGATTTTCCCTTCTTGACAAGTTCCAACTGCTTGAATTACATTTTCCTTCATATCGGTATTCCATAGTCCACTGAGATCTTGTTGCACCACCACATCATGATCCAAAAGCACAATCTTATTTAGAGCAGGAAAAATGTCTGGCAGGTAGAAACGCAGGTAGTTCAATTCAGAAGTGTATCTTGGATCACTGGAATTATTTTCCTGGTAGTTATTGTAGTTGGACAACCATTCAAAGTTGTCTATGCTCTGTATGTGGACTGTAGCTTTGCCAGGTGGATTTAATAAGAACCACATTGAGATTGCTGGTAAGTTGACTGATTTGGTCAATACGTGGAAAACAAGTTTCTCCTGTTCCTGCAATTTGGAAGTCATTGTCAAGCTTTCTTGTCACTATATACAAACTTATCATTTGCATTGGAGTCAATAATAAGAACTGTTAAGAATTAGGTCAAAATATGGAAACCATAACACTAAGTATATTGTTGCTAATATATAATTTGTGAGACTATCTTAATCTCATACTCTTATTTATACCAATAATTAGGTCACCTGCTAGTAGTAGTACAACTAGTACAAGCCCTAGCTCATTAACAAGACTAAAAACTTAATTAAATAAGGAAACAAACCTTAGATTTCTTCCTCAATTAGATGATTAAATAATTCCACAATGTGTTCTAAAGATTTTAGAAGCTAATCTAAAGATGTGATAAGTATACTTAAACAAGAACTTCCTTACATATTCCCAAAATAAATTATCTATGCCATAAATGAATTAAAATGAATCCACAATTTTACAAGATAAATTATTGGAGAGCTTATATAGCTTTCCTCTCGGTGTATGCGCTAAAAGTTAGACACTTCAATATAAAAGCTGAGAAAGCTGACCTGAGGTAAAAAGAGATCCTCTTAACTGGAAAAGACTGCTTATTCATTTTGCTAATGGTGTAAATGATGTGACGAACAATATTTTTTTCTTAAATGTGTAATCCTAGTTAAAAGAGGAATGAAGAGGTAATGTAAAGGGACAACTTTTATTTTAGTAACGTATTACTTTGTGACAGATCATATATTGTCTTGGGTATTTACTGATTGGCTTTTTGATTCTGCAATAAGTTTGGTAGCACAACTATGTAAATTTTTAAGTAGTTAGGGTCAACTTCAAAGAGCACTAGAAATAGAAAAAATGAAATGCCAAGTAACTAACTCTCTAGGTTCAAGGAAGGGATACAATGATAATTCAAGTTCTTACCACAAGCTCCTATGTTCACCCTCTCAAATGTAAAGAAAACAAACACTTTTGGGCAATTAGGAGGAGATTTGAGGTTGAGGGGATCTAGATACCTAATTTCGTCCGGGACACACAAACAAAGAAATGGACATCGAGCATGAAGAAAAGGAGTTCCCGAAAGCCCAAAAAGCAACACTATATGACATCAGAAAGCCCAAAACCCAATAATGGTGATTTGGTAGCTCGGAACAGGCCGTTCCTAATCTGAAACAGATCGTTCCAAACTACTAAAAAGGCTTAAAAACCTTAGTTCAAAACAGGCCGTTCCGACACAGGTTGTTATGAGTAAAATTCAAATCCAGAACAAGCCGTTCCAGATTCAAATTTTACTCTTAACAGACTGATCCAGAACGAGCTGTTCTGAAACTGGAATGAGTTGTTCTGGTCAGATCTGAAGTCTATAAATAGAAAAGTCGGGCACTGCTCCCGGGGGCGGGAAAAATTCTTCTAGGAAGCCTTAGTTAGTTCGAAAATTCTCTCTCTCCCTCTTATTGTATTTCTTAAGATTTTGTGAGGTACATTATAGTGCGCTAGGTAGCCAAAAAACACCTAAAAATCTCTATATTTGAAAATTCAATAAAGCTCGATCAAGAGGTACTCCAATCAACACTTTTTTTTTCCTCTATTTCCCCATTCTAATCGTCATTGTTCAAAATAAAAAAGATTAATCATGTAGACGTTTTAGAATAAATCGGGTAATTTAAATTTCATACATATAAATAACCTTCAATAAAGGGGATATAATATTTAAACTATTAATTCTTATTATGCTAGCTTCGTCATAGGGTACCGATTTAGGGCATTGTAGGGGTGCTTAATACCTTCCTTTCACATAACTGACCCCCGAACCTAATTTTGGTTATTAAGGCCATTATGGGATTTTCGAACATCTTTTTTTTTTCCAATGTTTTGAGTAAAACATTGGTGACAACTCCATGAACTTATTTTCAAAATCATTATTTAAGGATTAGTCTGGTATCCGAACATTCCTTAATTAATGAGATTTTTAAAAATAGTAGTCTAAACCATTAATTGTAAGATCAGAATTTTTCGGGTTACGATAAGAGACATCAAGTCATCAACCACCAAAGCAATCATTAAGGGACTATTAATAAGATTCTACTTTGAAATAACTGGATAGCTAAACTTATTATTAATAAGATCCAGCAGACAGCAGTTGCATTTGGAGTCACAACAAAAAAATTAGCTCAAAAATAAAAGAATGACGGTTAAAAGAAAAAAACAAAATAAAAGGATGTTAATCCACGTAAAAAAAAATAATAATAAGGATTTTACCTTGGCAGTAGAGATTGTAGAGTTAACAACCACTGCACATGCCAGAACATTGTCAGAGAAGACAGCATAATGATAAAGGTCTGGATGATAAATTTTTTTTTCATTTGGAAGCTTTCTCTCCTCAGGCCTCAAGGCAAAGTATTCTGCAGTCAAGCGCATAGAAAGACAGTGAAGGCCTTTTGGGGCAGTCCTTGCAGCAAGATTAACAAGATATGTTGCTTGATTTCGCTGAGAACGGACTTGCTCTTCAGCCTGACGCTTCATTGTATGGAGCTTAGCAGCCATTGCAGAGCAGTCTGGGAAAGCACGGTAGACTTTAGACAGTGAAGCCTCCATGTGTCTCATTTTCTGCAAAGCACTGTGAACTTTGCTTGTTTTCAGATTGAAAAATATTGTCAATTTTTGTTAACAATTAATATTAGATATTCACATCAAATTTCTACATGAATTTCTTTCTATATCATTATTTTTGTACTGGAAGATAAGCTGTCACTACTCACTAGTTTCTCACATGTCATAATTTGAATTTTTGAGAAAAACTTATGTGCTGGTCCTTGAAAAATAAAAGGCTTCTTAATGTGATATCTCCATTTCTGTGTCTCTCAATTAAATCCCCCAGTAGATTTAATTAGCTTCAACTAATCTATCTGTACAACCTATATGTTCAGTCAGTGATGTGGATAGGAAGGACCCGCAAGAAGCAAATAAAAATAAATAAATAAATAAATAAATAAAATGGAAGGATTCAATTGAGAAAATTAAACTCTTCCTATGGTATCATAGTTGGTCCCAGACCTGGATAAAGAAAGAGAGGTGTGTTTGGTCATTGGCGATCAACATAAAACTCATTAATATACCAAACATGGATCACTCACAACTGATTTGAAAACTTGGTCTTTAACCAAGCCTAGTCTCATTGTGTGATTCATGTAACTCACCTCACGGGATAAGGTTTTTGTTGTATTCAATTGAGGAAATCAGCAATTGATAATTGTTGGATCTATGAAGTAAGTGTCATACATGTTTTTTCCAAAGACCAAAACATTGATAGTTTTTACTTGAAGTTTCTAGATTGTATTAGTTAAGCACACTATTTTGTGAACTAAATGCAAGCATAGACTTACGGAGGAAATTTTACCTTGTTGACAGATCTGAATCCTGGGTGACTTCTCCAATTGATAATTCCATCTCTCTCGTTAGCTGGTCCAACTCCCTCAAGCGTAAATTGCTGCTTGGTGGTGCAATTTTCAAGTACGCTTTGGCTAAAATAATTTGATCCTTAATCTCTTGAACCTTCTTATTTGTCACTTCAATATTCTTCTCTGATATTCTCTGTGAATCATGTATATTCCTACCTTGAGCCACGAAGGATAGTTCTTTCTGCTGAGCTCCTTGGTGTTGTCTTTTATTGATGAATCCTGAAACTTGACAACAGTGCAAACTTCAGAAAGTTCCACATAGTTGATTACTTGAGTGGCATTATATAAGACCAAAAGTAAATAGTAAAATATAAACCTACATATTACCAACCATTTCTTTCTAAAGTGATACCTCTGTACCCTGCAATTCCAGACTCCTTAGAATCATTATTCTGTTTTGAATTGTAATTAATTGCTGAAACAAAATCTTTTTCCGTATAAACAACTTGATTTGGCTCTTCTAATTCTTCAGCACCTTCCTGAATCTCAAAAACAGGCCGAAATCACAATTATATATATATATTTTTAATTATCTGCCAATTCACTCAGGAAAGAAAACAATAATTTGACGCAATGAGGAAAATTCATTATCAAATCTTCTCCTACCTGTTCTACAGCATTTAACTTCATCGTATCTGTCCTGTATGTCTGCAACCAATAAATAAAGTAAATCCAACTTCCAAAGCCGAGCATAAGAAGCTATAGTTCAACTGGAATAAATTTTCTTCCACTTCAGATAAATAAATCCAAATATTTAGATTATCCAATATCAATTAAAAAGCGCGAGAAATTCCGTTGACTACTCCACTCACAGTCACCGACACTAGAAATTAAAATCTATTTAAAAAAAAAAACTCAACTATATTTCCTCTTGCTCAAACTCTTTCGTAACAACCAAACAGATAAACAACGAAAAAATCAGTTCAGGCTCGGGAATCAGGATTCTTACAGCGCGATATAAATCTTCAAGAAACTCTCTTCTCCCTGCAACGACGGTAACAGAAACGCACAGAGTCAATCGGAGGAGAAGTGTCGAGTGACGACAAATGCAAAGCGACATTGCAAATTAGCAGCGCGCAAACAAGCACGTGATGAGAGAAAGAGAGAGAGGAATTTACCGAGAGGAGTGACGAAGAGGAGAGGAGCAATGACGGAGAGAAAGAGCAGAGAGAGGATGAGAATCCTCTGGTAGCGACGGATTTGGTTCATGGGAGAGTGTGGTTGTTCTGGATCCTTCTGGAGAAGAAGTACATTTGGCAGATTCAGATCCCAGAGAGGAAGTGAAGCTTCCAGCGGAAGGAAGACGCAGGTAGGGTTTCAGTTTGAGTTATAGTTAGTGTTTGTGCTGTTAGAGAAGCACAGAAGAATGAAGCAGAAGCATAGGTTCCTCCATGTTTATCGTTCCCACACCACACGGCTGTGTCAGCTACCTGAGACAGTCGGTGAGTAAAGACTCCCAAGTCAAGTTAAATTAAATTCATTGTCAATTTTTATTTATGTGTTTTAACTTTTATGTTTTTTTTTATATAAATAAATTAGGTTCATTTCTTTTTCGATTAAGAATAATAAAGCGAAATAGTAAGTATTTATAAAAATAGGTCTCAATTTTTTTTTAAAAATAATTTCCTCTCCACGATCATGGATCATTTGCACGATTTCAAGTTTCTGTAATTATTTTTCAAAATAAAAATTGATTAAAATTTTAAGAGAATTTTAAAGAACATGATTTTTTTTAATGAATGTAGAATATCCTGCCTAATCTTTTAATTGTCGATAATTAAGTTATTTTAACACATTAACAAGAGTTTAATTCACATACTAAAAAGGAAATTATTGTTAAAATGAGAGACAAAATTCACTTTAGTAGTTTATACACTTCAACAATAATTAATTTTAATAAAAAAAAAGAATATTCTTACTAAAAATACACAATAATCTCTCAAATTAGTCAAATATATTTAATGCATTAATTCCTCTTCAGAAATAAATGTTTTTTCAATAATGACATTTTTTATGTAGAATAACGATAATAAAATTTAAATTAAAGATGTTGCAAAAACTACAAACTTTTTCTCATTAGGCCCACCCTCTTAGTAATAAATGATCATTTTAGTATATAAGGTATTATCAATTTCTCATGACGCTTTATTTGCTAATGGGTAAAATGGAAGAAAAAAAAAATAAGAAAGTTGGCAAATCGAAAGTGTTTGATAACAAAGAAGATAGATGAAAGTGTATACGGGTTCATGTGACAAAATATTACAAAGATTATAACACTCCTTTTTACAAATAGTAACTCGTGGCACAACAATGTTATTATTATAATACTTGTGTAATATTTTGATCAAAGTTCAAATTTATCGGACAAAGGCCAACATAATCAATTAAGCTTATGACCTAATCAATTATGTGACCTGTGTTAGTTGACATTTGTTCATTATTGTGGCATATAATTGATTATGTCATGTACATAATTAATTATCAACGTGTTTGAAGTAATATTAAAAAACCAAATCAACAATACAAATTGCGTTAACAAGTTCAATCGATGTAAAAATTATTTGTTATTGTTTTTGTTGGACATGAAGAGAGAATGATGATTCTATCTAGATATAATCCTAAGCACACATTATATGCCTCAATCATATATAGTATTTAGAAATCATATATATATAT